TTCAACAAAATTTTCTTCTAACTCTCTAGGAACATACCGAGCGACAAGAGCAAATGAATCCGGAGTGTATGTTGGTTTAACTACAACTATATCTATTCCATTTATCTTCGTTGGCCATTTAGCAGTGTTCGCAAGTGTAGAATAATCTACCTTATTGTTTACACCTAATTTTAATTTTCTTCCATTCCAACCAACTAGCGAGAATCTATTGATCAATACACCGTTTAGTTCTAGTTCCTTGAATATAAGATCACTGGCATGAATAGCTGATGGAATGCTGTTACGATCAGCATTCGAATTAAATTCTATATGAAAGCATGGTGCAACTTTTGATTCTGTATCCAATGATATACTTTAAATTTCATTTCATTTCATTGAAGAAGAGAAAATTTATTTTTCTCGAACTACATAGTGATAGTTTTGAGATTTAACTATTTTAACATTTAACTTCTTAAATGGTAGAAGAGTTAAATTAGTATTCGCCAGTTTATTTTTTCTCAGTATATAGCTGAGTGTCTTCTCTTTCGGATGGATTCTCAAAAGAATCATTTGAGTTAGTAAAGTTAGCATTAATTTAATATTTTTATATTTAGAAGGGGGGGGGGGGATCTTATAACTATGAGACAGGGGAGACTGAAAAGTTTCTGAATTTATTCATTAATGCTAATTGATCGAATTCAAACCAATATGGTACATGATAGACTGCTACTATGTGTCCATGGATATGATATCAGATTAGAAATGAAACCTTCTTTAGTTGAAGAAATCTTTATTGTTCTCAAAACTCAAGGAGGAGGGGGGGGGACGAGGGTGAGGATCTTATAATTTTGAGACCCCCTGTATATATATATATTGTTCATTGAAGGAAATCGTAATGAATCATACACTACACTACAGAAAAGTACCCTTGCAACTAAAAATCGCTTAGGGCAAAAATGGTTCCATACGACAAGAATGAAGCAGGAAGGAAGGCTTTTGCCCAGTTGTGTATTTTAAGGATTTGAAATAAAAACGAAACATCACATTTAGCTCTTTATTTATTATTTTAAAAATTGAACAATTATTGAAGAATAATAATCTCAGTGATATTACAAATAGATATACAACAACAGTTTTTTTTCTCTTTAAGAAAAAACAATACTATGATTAATATAAATCTACGGACAAACAATATAAAGTAAATAAAAATTTATTGATAGTACATCAAAAGCTCATTCTTCATTAACTATGGTAGATTTTATATTTTTCACCATAGTTGTGAAATTACATGGAATTTGATTAGTTCTCATTGATATAGATTGTATATATCTCATATTATTTCTGAAACGCGGTTGAACTTGATTTGTTCTCAATAAAGTTGCTTTTCGACATAAAAATAACATTTTTGCGTCTTCTCTAAACGTTTTTGATGTAGAAAAGAAAACAAAAAATGGACATGCAAATGTTATATAACATGTAATTGAAACAATATTTGTCATCACAAGTTCAACAGTTCTTTGATTATCAGATTTAGTCATTGTTGCAGTAAATGTTGAATATTCTGTAAATATTACATATGGTAATGTTGAAAAAAGTATTATTGGAATTTGTATAAGCATCATTGATGTTATTTGTTTTTGAACTAGTTGTCGTTGACGATTTATTTGTAATTTATTTGTGTTTTTATATGTCAATAGACCTGTTATTGTCAGAACTGTACTAGGTAATAAACCATAATAAACAGGAAATGCAAAATACATTTGATAATTAGAAAAAACAGCATCTCCAACAAGTGCACAATATAATATACCAGTAAATGGACTTCGTACTATTTCAGTATATACTAAATAAGGAATATAAATAGCTAACCAAAATATAATTGTCACAATAATTTCCCATGTAGCTATTGATAGTCGACTTAATTTTCTGTATTTTTCTTGACGACAACTAACAAGAAATCGATCAACACTTGCTAAGCAAGTACATGTGAATGAAATTAAAAAACTAGCTGGGCTAAAAGTAGCACGAGTTTTACACCAAATACGATTTTTAGTTGACCAATCAAAATGAAAACCAACATTTAATACTCTTGTAAGTAAACCATAAAATAATACAATACAATTAATAAACGATGTAACCAAAAATATAAATACACATGGATTATGACGAATTCGCCAAAGAAGACGAATATTAAATAAATTTCCCAAAGTACCACAAATCAATATGGGGAGACCAAGATAAATTGTTATTGAGCTTATTAATACATCGTCAGTCGAAGACATTTTGTCTTTTCTTTTAAAATCTACAAGAACAAATATTAGTTTTATCGTACTTAATGTCATAACGTAGTGAAAAAATGTCTAAACCGTAATCACAATAAACTCACTTTTATCAAGAAATGGATTAGTCAACAGTCTTTTGACAGAAATCAAGTCAAATTTAATTTGTCCATCATTGCTTTTATTTTCCTTGGAGGAAAAATAGAAAATGATTGTGCACGTATGAATGAGTTTTCATTGTATTATGCAGCTTAGGTCTTTCAACAGATTACTTTCTTGATTAATAATAAATGAAATACTTTTTTGCAAGTTAATAAATAAAGAGTTTCTATTACCACTGTTATCAACATAACCCGATCTTCTGTCTGACATAAATTATATTTTGTAAAGAATACCATTGAAAAAACAATTTTATTTTTATTGATCAATGAAAATATTGTTTCTTCACAATTAACGAATATCTCTATAGTGTTCTGCTACATAGGACGACATTTGTACTGATCATAATTAATTAAGTTTGTTGTTTGGAGAATAATTGCATCAATAAATAAATCAAATATGAATTACACTTTAGTTCTTAATGTAGAATTATCCATCACGGCACATTAGCGACAGTGTTTTTGAAAACACAGCGGGACGAGAAATATTTCAAAATTATCATCGTGACAGCAGCACATTCTTGGGAGAGATTACAATACTTCATGATTTGCATTGAATTTATATGTTTACAATGGTCTAGCTAGGATATTCTATTGTTCTGTTTCTTCTATTCTCTCGTTCAGGTAACATATGGCTACCTGAAACCAATAATTGAGCTAATTAAAGATGTAATGATACTTATATCTAACAAGATCTCATAAGCAAAGAATGTATGATAATTTTTAGTCATATTATCACTGAAATCAGCAACAAGTTGATAACAACTCCTAGACTGATAAATACTGAAAAAGATAAAATTCAAAATTATGAAAAATTCAATTTAAATTAGGCGTAAAAACTACGAAATAATTTGTTTCTTTCCAATCATAAATTCTAATTTTTATTTCATGAAAAATTTATGGCACATACCTACGCTTTGATCAAATAAGCAGAGTATAAATTTCCAATTATTTTATGCTGTGATAAATGTAACAATGACTCCCACATTGACACTAGAAAATGATATGCTGAAAGTATTTGCATGATCAAGCCAATTAGCATAATAATCTTTTTGCTATTAAATTTCGAGAAAAGACACATATTATTCTAGGACAGAAAATACTCAAGGTTAAAAATCCTTTATTTTTTTCTTTTGATGCAAAAATAACTCTAAAGAATTTAAAAACATAATTTCTTTCTATTTCACACTTCCTATATGAATCATGTGAAACTCAAAGATAAACAGGCATCGATAATAAATCAAAACCTTTATGAACCTTCATCTTTTCTTGATCAAAAACAAACTGGAAAGCTCTACAACTTTCTAAGATAACTTAAATCTCTATATAATACAATGACAAACTCTACAATCTTGTATAAACAAAAATGAAATTTCATTTGATCATACTCTTTAACTGTATATCTACTTATCGACAACTTATTATCTTTCTTTATATTAATTTTAAAGCTTGTTTTCGCAAATACTTATTCTCACTACTAACAATATAATCATATAAGTACGTAAAATAAATTACAAGTTTAAGAACAACTTTCATTAAGTAACGTCTGTTCCATATAAAAAATTAAGAATCTCTCTCTGTTTTCATCATTTTAAAAATAATCTATAATCAAATCACTTGAGAACAATGTTTATTATGACCTAAGACTTCACTTGACTGACATATAGACATATAAATAGTGGCCGTTTAACTAATTATCTAGCTATCTCTTATTGTCATAAAAAAACTAAGTAATAATACAACTGAAAATTGTGATTTCCTGATCAACTCATTCGGAGCTCTGGTTTCTGCTGGTTTATTCTGAATTTCTCATTTCTAATTGAATTCAATAAACCTATTGATTAGAGAAAAATGAGTGCCTCTCCATTCTTCTACATGAACA